GTTGTGTAAGTTAATTATATAAGTTAATGATTTATATAAGTTGTGTAAGTTAATTATATAAGTTAATGATTTATATAAGTTGTGTAAGTTAATTATATAAGTTAATGATTTATATAAGTTGTGTAAGTTAATTATATAAGTTAATGATTTATATAAGCTACATAAGAGCCTATAAGTTATAAACAATACTTAAACAACAAGTAACAATGTTTTGTATAAGTTACATGATATTTCAGAGGTTTAGATAATACTTGAAATATAAGTATCAACAATTTATATAAATTACATAATATCTCATGAATTTCAGATAATACTTGAAGAACAAGTATCAATTATCTTTATAAGTTACATATTATCCTGTAAGTTCTAGATAATACGTGAAGGACAAGTATCAATAATTTATATAAATTATATAATATTGCATAAGCTCCAGATAATACTCAAAGAAGAATGACGAATGATTTATACAAATTGCATAATATATCTTAAGTTTCAGATAATACTTGTAGAACAGGTATCAATAATTTATAGATAATGCATAATATTCCATAAATTTTATAAAATAATTGAAAAACAAATATAAATAATTTATATAAGTTACAAAACATTCCATAAATTCTAGAACAATGTTGAAGAATAAGTGTCAATAATTTATCTAAGTTACTTTATATTCCATAAGTTTCAGATAACACTTGAGGAACAAATATCAATGATTTATATAAATTGTATAATATCCCATATTTAATATTTGGAGAGCAAGTATCATTAGTTAGAATAAGTTACATAATATCCTATAACCTCCACATAATACTTGAAGAAAAAGTATCAATATTTATATAAACTACAAAATAATACATAAGCTTCACATAATACATGAAAAATGTACATAAATTTCAAAGTATTCTACAAGATCCAGGGAACAACTGAAGAACAAGTATACATGACTTATGTAGTAATATAAAGTTATATAGTATCCCATAAGTTCTATATAACACTTCCATAACAAATATCAATGACTTATATAAGATACATAATATCTTATTATTTGTAGTTAATACTTGAAGGATAAGTTTCAATAATTTATATAAATTCTATAATATTACATAATTTTCAGAAAAACTTGAAGGACAGGTATTAATGATATATATATATATATAT